AATTATAAATATGTGATCGGAATGACTGCCGAAATAGTCGCTGGAGTGGTCGTCGGAATAGTCACCGGAATCGGAGCAGTCGCCAGAATGGTCGCCGAAAACGAGTGGTCGTCGGAGAAAAGTGGTAGTCGGAATGATCGCCGAAATAGTTCCAGGAGCAGTAGGGGTGGTGCATATGGGGTAAGTTTATTATATTATATTTTATTAGGAAAAAAAAGACCTGATTTTTGAATTTTCAAACTATAAACATGATTTTTAAATTGGGGTAAACTAAACACATTATTTATGAATTTTTTCCACAATTTTACGTTTATCCATGAGATAAAATGTGCCGCGTTATCAATTCTATTCCTCACCAATCAAACAGGCCCCAATTGTACTTTTTAATTTATTGGTTCATATTTTTCTTTTCCGACTTTTCCCTTCTTTGGTTATCAACATTGATTGAGGTAGCTGTATGAATCACAGAGAGCGCGAGAGGCGCCAGATTTTTGCAGAAAACCCATTTCAGTTCGGAATTTGAGTTATTATATCTCTACAAAGCAGAAAAAGCTCAGTTCCTTATCGCTGCTCAGTTTGAACTTCTAGAGGTAAAAATTTAGCCCCCAAAAAACATAAAACAACACCCGTTGCAAGTGAAATAAGAATTCATTTTTTGATTGTACTGAGTTTTTGTATTTGGAAATGATGTCCTCTCTCTTTTTTTTGTTTTTTTGTTTTTTTTAGTGTTTTGAAACAGTAATCTCACTTTCTGTTTGTGTGTGGATGTTAACTTTGGACTTGTTTTATCATTTTGGGTTTGATTTTCTTGTTGTCAATAGGTTCCAAGTTTAAAAATTGAAATTTAACCCACTAACCAATTTAAATAGCAGAAGCGCTACAGAAAAGAAGAAAAAATGTAACAGAATTTGAATGCTCTCCAGTTGTTCGACTGTATAATCTCAAGCTGTTTCTTCTTTTAATGTTTGGATCGTGTCTAAAACAAAAGCAAAATTACTTGACTTTAAGAACACCCCCAAGAAGGTAGGCGTAGTAAAAAAGAAAACGGCCCAAACTGACAAGTCAAGGCGTAAGCCTTAACAAAGAGCACAAAGTGCAAGCTTTGAGGTTCCTAATCAATGCCTTGTACGAGGCGTGCCACAAGAGGTAACCCTAGTGTGCTTTTGACAACACTATTTACAGACATGTGAAAGTCTCTAACACTCCAATTTATGTGACGGGATTTACGTTAGTAATGGAAGTTATGGAATCTGCTGTAGAATTTGAATAAAACTCCCTTAGCTTCATGTTTGAGATACAAATCCATATATATATATATATATATATATTTGGTGTTTGGTAAAACTATTTGTATTGAATCTTTCTTTTACATGGTTTTCATCAACACTGAATGGTACATTGGTTCACTTTGGATGCATGCCAAAGAAATAAAAGATTAAGAAGCGAATCCAGTTGTTTCTTTCCAACGGGACGAAAATTAAGGAGTGCAATTGCACTCTTGAAATGGTGCAAAGTATGTCAATGAGCACATTAGCAATTTCCCAGTGCAGTGTTATTTGTGGAGCGAACAACGAATGGAGGAATTCAGGTCAAATGAAGGAAATACATATAGTTTTTGGGGTTCAAAAACTGTACCTCTGTTCTCATGGTAGAAAAACCTCATCCTTTGCGGGTCAATCTGATATATCTCGACCTGGAAATGTGAGAGTCGAAGCTGGATGGCTGTTTAGAGGAGGTGATAAGGGATCAGAATTGGATGCAAGCTGTGAGCGCAGTGAGAGTGCAAATGAGGATATCCTAATGTTCTTTTTCCAGCTGGATTTGGCAACTCGTGTACAGGTTTGGAGTGTTTGTTGCTACTCACTTTAAATGTTTAAAATGGCTAGAAAAGGAATGTGTTAACTCAGCTCGTCACTGTATTATATTGCAGTATGCTTTGAATGTGGAGCAGTATGAAATTGCTCAAGAATTGAGGAACAAGCTGACTGAGGTTAGGATTAGATCAGTTATTGTTCGTATTTTCTTATACAACACACTATTACTGAGAAGAAGATTTTGTCTCTGTATGTATCTTTATTGAAAGTTTTTGATGGATTATAGTTTTGCTTTCGGTGGCAGTTTACCTACTTGTTTCCGCTTGGCAAGTGTTTATAAACACTAGCTAAAAGTCAAACCACTTTTTATCCATGTATTTCGGGATTCCACAAATACTACCCACTTATCCACCACTCATTTTTATCTATTTTTAAACACTTGCCAAACATATGCTTAGTATTACTTGTATACTTGTTTGTAATTTTCTCAGAAATTATGTAGACTAGATTTTAATGTAAAATTGAGGTGTTCGTGAAGACCTTAGCATGCTTATGTGATGTTTCCAATGGAAGGTTGAATCTGAGGTTATCAAGCTCCAAGAAAATAGAATGGGATCAGCCTCAAAGAGTGAAGTGCAAGATATAGCCATAAGCCTTTTACGCCTTCGGTAAGTCTCCTTTCAGTTTTCTTTATGATTTCTTCAAATCATTGCCAAATAAGAGCCTTATTGGTTAGTAGCTTACTTTTCCAATTTTCCCATATCAGTTTGTCTAAAAACTTTATTGCAAAACTTGTACTTCTTTCAGTGCAGACCTGCAGAATGCAATTCAGAGTGAGAACTATAACTTGGCAGCTGAGTTACGGGATGAAATTTCCAAACTTGAGGCAGAGTCTTTGGCTGCATCCGTAAAAGTTCAAGCATATGAAAATGTGCAATACGCTTTTCGTTTGGGGCAGAAAGTGAAGCATAAGATATTTGGTAATTGAGTCCACTCATTTTGGCCCCAGCCCTTTTTGTTGAATTTCTCACCTTGTAATATAATATGTATGAAACTATGAAAGAATTTGTGCAAACTACTAGTGCTACTTCTGAGTCATATTGTTTTGGCAAGTACTAATTCCATGTACTTGTTTCCCATCCTCAAGAGGTGAAACAAAATTAGCATATAATTAATAGGTCAATTTTGCTAAATGTAGTAAAATATATCTATCTTTATTGATTTAGGTCTAAATAATACCTAAATCTTTTTCATTACAATGTCTGTTTAAATAGTTTAGCATTAGAGCTTATTCTAAAACGTTTTTAGCATGCACTCCTGAGCATACGAGGAGAAATTATTTTTGCTTCTTATCCCATATCAACTTATTTAACTAGCTTCTGACATTATATCCACAAAAATAAACACAATCTTCTGTTCTGAGGAATTTTTGCCATCCCTCATGGATGTTCGAGTCCATAATTGATGGATACCTGCTGGACTACTAATGATTCTTTGTATTATTAATATATGATCTGGTGATCGTAGGATATCGTGCTGTTATTTGTGGAATGGATCCAGTGTGCTTTGAGTCAAAGTCATGGATGGAAACTGCTAACGTCAAAAAGTTGGTTCGTGGCCCTGATCAGCCATTTTATCAGGTTTAACTGGACAAATATGCATCCCTATACTTTTGTGTGAAGAATGTGCCTTTTGCATGTTTGCCTAAGTTTGAAAGTAAGTAGAAGTTACTTTACGGAGTAATAGTCGCTCCAGTTTTAAATTGTTACTGTAATAATCACTCGGTCAAAAAAAAAATAAAATTAACATTTAATCCAATGCAGTAGCATTAAGTGCCAACTTGTCACAAACTAATGTTATTTATTAGGTCGAGTTTGCAAAAATCGTTGTTGCGATAATAATGTTGGTTTACTCTACGATTTTAGCCCAAAATTTGACGAAAGCTGAAGTTGCATTATGTTTTCTAACTCCAATTTTGTTGATTTGGCATTATTTATTTGGTAACATTTTGGTACTTAATAATGCCACTTAAGATTTAATATTATTTTTTTATGAGTGATCATTAGCGTAATGGTTAGAAACTATGTTGCTCGGACTCGGATACGGGTACGTATCTATGTATCGGAT